ATAGTGAAGTACTAAAGTGTCCAGTAAAACAATTTTGTTGCTAATCCACTGTAATACTTATACAATTAGATTACACAATTAAGAAATCTACAATGTTTATTCTGTTTCCTATTGTGGAGTCCTGTAGGTCAGTGGTAAGAGTACTCGCCTTACAAGCAAGACACCTGGGTTCAATTCCAGGCCGGGCGAAACCTTGGGCAAGTTTCCTTACTCCGCACACCTGATAATAATCCCTCCAAAACAAAACAATAATAAATTGGTCATTTTCAATCCACGACTGTTTGTGGGACATTGCTGTGCGCAATTGGCTGCCGCGTTTCGCCCACAAATATACAGTCAATTCAGTTTACAGTGTATTCTGTGAAGCGCTTTGAGACGTCGAGAAGACGTGAAAAGCACAATATCAAATATCAAAAGATTATTATTATTGATATTATTACTGAGAACTTCTCAGAAGTCGGCAAGACTGCCCAGTGGCTTCATGCAGTCAGAGTGAAATTCTACACATTTGCGCTGTTAAGAAAATAAAGGTGAAGCCGCTTGCCAGCTCCTACCACTTGCCGGACTGAGTAACCTTTCAGGTTTAACATAACAGGGCAATAAATCAGGGATTGAACAGGAGTCTCCCAGGAACACTCGGACAGGCTGCCAGGATGTAATAACACTTTGTACGAGACTCTGGCCTCTCACCAGTGGGTGAGATTATCAAAGGCAAAGTATACACTGAGTAACGCACTTCCATAGAAAGTAAAGCTCTTTCAAAGGGTCCAGTCTGCACTTAGAGCAAGACTGCATGGGCAGGAATGTGACTGAGAAGGATGTGTGAGGGTATATGATGAGATTGACTATATTAATACCTGGACTGTGACTGTGATGACTGTGATAAGCGGCTGGTGGTGGGGTGGGGGTGGGGGGAGCTTGCTTTATGTTCCCTGGTGCTGAGGAGGAGCTGAGGAGCTTAAAGGGTTGTTCTGATCGAGGTGCTTTTGTTTTTTCTATGGTCAGCCGGGTGTCTGACACATGCAGAAACCTATCAACATGCTTAAGAGTGTCCAACAGACTGAGAATTCCATGCATCCCACCGAAAGGTGGAAATTCCAGAGATATTTGTTGCAATGGAATGGAATGCGCACTATTTCCCTGGAGAGACGCATCCTACTTAGCTAATTCCAGGAAGGACCAGGGTCGATTACTGGCCGGGACACAGGGTCAGTGCTAACCCACTGGAGGGCAACAGTGAGGTAAATGTCAGCTCAATGTACCTGGGACGTGAGGGGTTGGGAGGTGGGGGGTGGGGGGGGGGGGTGTAAAAGCAGGTGAGCTGCGACGTCATGTGCAGAATGGTCTCAGGAGACCAAGAGAGATCTGGTGAGTTTGCGAAACCAAATGGATTGGCGGATGGGGGAGGGAGGGGAGTAAGTAACAAAACAAAAACATAAGTTAATCAAACTTCCTACATAACTTCTCCGTGTGCATTTTTTGCCCATATTCCCCCCGTGGGGCGTGGGTTGTATATTCTCCCCCCGCCCCCCCCCCCCCCCCCCCCATGTGTATGCATTCCTGAGATGTGAGTATTCCAGGAATGTAATTGTTTCCATCCTTTGTGCTCTCACGCTAGTTCACACTGGAAAGTCACCAAGGAAACAAGGGCAAAACAGAGGAGAGTTTGCTCGTCTGATTTTGATCTCACAACCCTGGGAGGGTAAACCACAAATTATGAAAGACATCAAGGTAAATCAGCCAAGCTCACACCATCCCAGAGCTTTGAGTTCCTTTTAGCTCCCTCCCTCTGCCTGTTGACATTCAAGGCCACAATGTGGATGCAAGCAAACTCACCGTGACTGGCAGTTATGCAGTAAGTTTCACCCGGATGGCATCCGGGAAGCACTTCAGAGAGAGCGAGTGAGAAAAGAAGCAGAGTGTACCTAGAGTGCACCTGGAGAGGTAGGAGGGTGGGATAGTAATATTATGAGCATAATAATTATATAGCTGTTTTAGCTTGTATTGAACAGTAGAACCAGAGGACACGATTGAAAGGGGAGTAAATTCAGAACAAATCTGCGGAAACACTACCTCGGTGAGCGAGCAGTAAACATGTGGAACAGGGCCCCTAAGGAGACGGTGAAGGTAGAAAACGTCATCTGTTTCAAGAACAAATTAGACAATTTCTGTTAAAAAAAATAGTATCTCAGGATACAGTATACAGTTTGGGACACGACCTGTCAAAATAATTGCCAGGATGGTGGAAGATGAACTGGATGGACCTTGGTCTTGTTTCACCTAGCAAATTCTTATTGTTGTTATACAATGAGTGAAAGCAGAGCTTAGGACAAAATGTCTTCATACCGAAACTTGATGGGGTGTCGCCAAGTAAAGTGTTGGAGGCAGAGTCCAGTGTGGGGTTTCGAGAGGGAAGTGGACAGTTTACATGAAAGATAGAGGCTTGAAGGAGTTGAAGGATAGGGTGGGCAGAGGGATATAATGAAGCTTTCAAGGTAGATATCTTCTCATCCATCAGCCAGACACAACAACGACAAATTGCATTCGTATCGCGCCCTTCATGTCGGGAGGACGTCCCAAGGCGCTGGACAATGAGGGGTTTGGGAATCAGAGCGTGGTGGAGGGCAAGGGGGATGGCTTGAAAATTTATGGAACGCACAAAAACCCAGTCACTACACTTTGCAATAAATTCTGCGAAGCGCTTTGCACCATCCTCCTGACATGAAAGGCGCTGTAACCAAATGTAAGGTTTTACTTGAGCGATGAACTTTAAAGCAGATATTACTGAGTTGCGAATCAATTAAAGTGTGTTGTAATGAAATAAATCTTTATTTGGTTTCAGTGGCTTTGTTGAGTTATCCTGTGTTTAAGATGAACTTGAATTATAAATCCCCCAGATTTTAAAGAAATACTCACCTCAATCAGTGCTGATATCAGACCCAAACTATGTTTGTTACACACACCTGCATACCAGTCACACACATTCATGGCTTGAATATTGCAATTGCGTCGGTATCATTGGTAAATGATATGGATCTGATCATCGTTCAACAATAAAGTAGCATTTTTAGGTGCAACAGAGGCGCCAGATGATGTGTTCAAAGGGGGTGATTCACTCCAAGTGCTTTTCAGAGTGACACATGAATTCGTTTTATGATTCTGATTGTATAATCAGTTTAACTCTATCGACTGGCAATGGGTGTACCGTAATGAGCAGCATGAGTTGGATAGATTTTTGTTTCAAGGGATGTTGAGCAAAGGTGGGTTAATGGAATTGAGGTGCAGATCAGCCATGATCTAATAGATGGCCTGAGTGGCCTACTCCTGTTTCTATATTTCTTTGCATTGCGTTGGAAAGGTTAGAACAAGAAACTTGTACAATTCAGGACGAGGTTTGGAGGCAGACCTATTACACATCATGTTTCGGGGTCTATTTATGGGTAAACCATGTCTAAACCCCACGTACCCACCCTACCGCTGCGACCTCCTAACCCCCTACCAGCCCGCCCTTTCCCTCCGCTCAGTCGGCTCTGGCCTGCTCCACGTCCCCCGACCCACCTGGCCCACCATTGGCGGGAGAGCCTTCAGCCACTCCGCCTCGCCCCCTCCTTACCCTCCTTCCCGCCTCAAGACCCTCCTCTTCCACCATGCCATCGGCCACCCCCTTCCCCGCCCCCCAACCCCAGCTCAGGTCTGAAATGCTGTACACTGTCCAGCGCCTTGGGACGTCCTCCCGACGCGAAAGGCTCTGTACAAATGTAATGTTGTTGTTGTTGTCATAAAACTCCACCTTTCGCTATCCGACCTAGCCCAACACAGGGGGCTCTGGGTTAATCAGAGTGGAGGGAAAAGCGTTCAATGTTTAGACAAGCGCAGGCCTCCTGCCCGGCCTCAGGAGGCCCCCCCCCCCCCCCCCCCCCCCCCCGCCCCACCGGCCCGGGAGTGGGAGATTCCAGGCTAGCGCCTCGCTGACTGAGAAGTGGGAGATTTTGTGGCTTTCTCGCTTGGATTCCCAGTGAATATTTCACCTCTTGCACTAATAACTCAATGATTTTAACCCACAACGTCCTGATTCGCAAGATGACTAAAGCCAGGCTGATTGACTATTGAGTAATTTTTGGGTAAGATGCAATAAAAAAAAAGGTTCAGTACTGGTCAGTGTTTATGATATATCCGTTTGCTTCCAAAACACGCAGTCACTACACTTCCCGGAAAACTCTGCAAAGCTCTCTGAGATGTTTTCACACCGTTAAGGTTACATTGATTAATTGCAAGGAATCCTCGGATTTGAGAGACCGCCTAGAATTCTGAAATGCCTCAAAAGGAATTGTGATCAAGTGTAGTGACTATTTTTTGTAGGCAATGAGCCAGTGAGCCTCTCTGTCCCCTGGAGGATTCTTGGCCAGGATGTGGGTAAAACATTCCCTTCTCTACATTCTAAATATTTCGAGAGAGAGAGAGAGAGAGCGAAGGGAAATGGGTGACAGTGTGGAATGTGTGAGTCAGTTACACTCTGTCCCTCAGACACAAATCACCAAAAATGGCATTTCACCCGCAATATAAACTCACTGGTGTGTGTGTGTGTGTGTGTGAGGAAGTCAGTTATTATAACAACAACAACAATTTGCATTTATTTAGCGCCCTTCACACCGGATAGCGTCTCAGAGCGCTTAAAATCCCAATCTGTCCCTCAAACTTGGATCACCAAAAATGGCAATTCATGGCAAAGTGGAAGACTGTGTGTGTGTGTGTGTGTGTGGAGAGTGGGGGGGGGGGGGGTGAGGGGGAGTGGGGATGAATGGCTCTGTATATGATTGACATTTCTTGGTGATTGTGTACCAGGAAGGAGGGGACTGACCCAGTAAGCTGGTTTCTCTCAGAGTCTGTGTGCCAGCAGGTGTTTCCTCACTCAGTCATATATAAAGGAGGCACTGGAGCACAGAGGACAGCATAAAGCCAAACTTAGCGACTGCTAACAGCTACTCCCTGTCTCTGCCTCTCAGTCACTCACTGATTCACTAACTCACCCCCTCCTCAGAAGCAATGATGATGCCCGACCTGAAGGATCTGCTGTCTGTCACCACCACTCTGGTTATTTTACTGGATATTGGTAGGTTTGCTTTATAGCTGTATTTTTGGATGTAAAACCCTCAACACTGGGAATGCAATGAATGTCTTTGTGAGTTGTTGGTGGATTTGCACATTATTGTTTGCACCGTTGTTATATATATATTTTTTTTTGGGGGGGGGGGGTGATGCAGTTCAATTTGCAGTGCAGGGCAAGGGGGAGGGCAAATAGATTCTTTTATTTGAATTGCAAAATTATTTTTATTTGCTTTCGTTTCTCCCCCCCCCCCCCCAATAACGGAGCTTTGCAATTGGCTCCAACTCCGTTCGCTAAGGGGTTCGCTAATCCGGGGAAGTTTGCGCACAGCGCGTCTCAGGGACTTTGCGAATCCAGGATTCAGTAGTTGCAGAAATCTGCAATGATTTTTTTTTCCCCCCCTCTGAGGATTATTTCTATTTCTATCCCACAAGGCTGTTTTTTTTTTAAAATTTAATTGGTGTTTAATTCAATTTATTAAATGCATTTTCTCTTGGCAGAACGATTGCATTTTCTAAACCCTTTCAGCCGAGTTGTTGCACGTTTTTTTAATTTAACAAATAACAGATTAAATCGTTTTTTTTTCCCTTTTTAAAAAAAAATCCGCTTGAACCACTTCCTCGAAGCCTGTGCTCAGGGTATGTATGTGTCGATGAGATACAGGCACTTTAATAGTCACTTTAATAAGCTGCTCAATTACAAAATAGATTGCACACACGTTTAAAGATATTTCTATTAGCAAAACTTTTCCTGAAGGAGTTGCAAATCTGATTGCAACGCAAAAAAAATCTTCTGTGGCTGCTAGAAATGAAGCAAAAAGAAATAATAATCAAAAGACGATATTTAACTGATTAAAACTCTCGACAGCATTGCATTTGTTTGGAACAAGTAATTGCACAATTGAGTATTTTATTTATTGGAGTTCAAATCTGCTGTGAGGTTCTCTGGAGCTGCTGTGAGTGCATCAATTGGGACCTGAGGGGAAAGGGGAAAAAAAAAAACTCACGTTGCAAATAACCACAGGGAAATCCTGGCCACAGTTGGGTTGTTTTTTTTTTCTCGGTCCCTTTAAATGCAAAGCTATTAAAAAAAAGGCAACAGAGCTGAGAGAGGTTCCTGTCTGGAAAGAGAAGTGGATAAAGTAATTCGAACCCTCTACCTGTGTGTCTGTCTGTGTCTCTTGTGTGAAACTTGACGTGTGTGTGTGTGTCTCCTCTCTCACACTGTGTGTGTGTGTGTCTCTCACTGTCTGTGTGTACATCTCTCGCTCTCTGTGAAACTGACCCTCTATGTGCGTATCTCACTCAGTCTGTGCGGTCTATGTGTGTCTCTGTGTATGGGTGTGTCAGTCTGTGTCTGTCTGTGTATGTGTCTCAGTCTGTGTGTGTGTATGTTGTGTCTCGGTCTGTGTGTGTGTGTATGTGTCTCAGTCTGTGTGTGTGTGTGTGTATGTGTCTCAGTCTGTGTGTGTGTATGTGTCTCAGTCTGTGTGTGTGTGTATGTGTCTCAGTCTGTGTGTGTATATGTGTGTGTGTGTGTGTGTCTCAATCTGTGTGTGTGTGTATGTGTCTCAGTCTGTGTGTGAGTGTCTCAGTCTGTGTATGTGTGTGAATCTGACATGAAAACGGAAGTATTTTGAAAAAAGATTTTCAGTCTCCTTACACTACAAAAAAGGTGGATATTCCCCTCCCGATAACTTGCTGTAATCTTTCCGCATTCCTTTCTCCAGGTCATGGCTTCCCGCTGTCCGGATCCAGCCTGGGAGGCTCCAGCGGCCAACACCTGCGTGTGAAGCGCTGTTCCTGTAATAACTTCCGAGACAAGGAGTGCATCTATTTCTGCCACAAGGACATCATCTGGATCAACACACCAGGGTGAGCAGAGCAGTCTGCGGCATTCTGTGTGCCTGCCGGACATTAAAATACGCAGTCACTACACCTCACAGTGAAATCTCCACCACCTGATAAGGTGCAGTATTAAGTGTGAAGATTACAATAATAATAATCCTTGCATTTGATATAGCGCCTTATCACGTCGTATAGACATCTCAAAGTTTGTCTCAAAGCAGTTCGCAGGGTATACTGGACTGTCTTTTGTGCGCTCAGCAGCCAATTATAATACATCGCATAAACAACCTTGAAACAGTCACCTGTTGGTGAATTTAATAATCCTATAGCAAACCTTGTGTTTCTTATAACAAGTAACTGCATTTATACGCCATCCTCCATGTAGGGTAGCGTCTCAGAGCGCTACACAGCGACTGAGTTAGACGCCGAGCAAGAAAGAGGGAGGGGTTGAGTTGCAGTGCCTTTCATGCAGTCTCTTTCAGCTCTCCCTCACACCGCCCCCCCCCCCCCCAACCCCAACGTCCCCCCATTACCTCTATAAATTATGTCAAGAACCTTTAAGGGTTTCGGAATCCGCTCAGCGTGGCCAGGACAAGGTGTGGGAGTTTCCAAGCTCTCTCTCAGAGGGACTCACTGGTGCGGAACTGATGGGAATGGGCGGATGCTCTGGGGAATTTGACATTCAAAATGTGGAGATCTGGAAAGTCCCAGGGAATATTCCTGCTCCGTGCCCCGGAAACTGACCATACTCCCGGTGACGGTCGGGGCTCAGCGGGAACTTTAGAGCAGGAGAAAGCTGTTCCACCTAACCTTGGAGCTTAACCTTATTCCTTCTCCCCCACAAAATTCACTTAACAGTATATTCTGCGAACCGCTTTGAGATGCCTACTGACACGATAAGGCATTATATCTCGTCCCCCTCCCACCACACAAACATACCTTAGTTTCCCCCCCCTCCTTCCAAGAATACATTCCCAGTCCCATTACTCTCAGAGAAGCTGCCCCGGAGTTCGGTGCATTGGCATTTACCACAGCAGATGAAAACAGTACAATAAAAAGCAATTAAATGTCTGAATTTGCTGCTGATAGCCGGGCACTGTAGACTCTGGAGCTATAAAGGCTGGTTTAGAGTTGTTGCTAATCATATCCCCCCCCACCCGTGTTTTCCTACAGAAGGACTGTGCCTTATGGTTTGGGAAGTCCACCAAAGCGACGCAAGAGATCCAGCGCCCGGTGCCAGTGTTCGAATTCCAAGGACGGAATGTGCTCGCAGTTTTGCCAGTCAGACAACCGGTACGCGACAACGATTAAACATTAATGCTGCAGTGTGTACCCTTTGCCAAATGGCACCCAGTTACCCTGATCGGATGTCTTGATCAAGTAGAATGAGCGTCTCGACAGGCTTTGCAGGGATAATAATAGTAATAATAATACAGCACCTCAGCGCGTCACGGGATGTACTGTAAAGTGTAGTGACTGTGTGCTTTGTGGGCAAAACGAGGCAGCCAGTTGCTGCACAGCAGTGTACCATAACAACAAAATAAAAATGAGTGACGCATTTTATATTGGGAGGATTGTTGGCCGGGGGACACCGGGAGATAGAAACTCCATTCTCTTTGCGAATAGCGCCACGGGTTCTTTACCGTCCACCTGACCAGGCAGGCGAGACCTCAGTTTAACGTATCATCCGGAGGACAGGATGACGGGGAGGGGGCAAGAGGAGGGGGGAGAAGAGAAATTAATGGGAGTGGGCCAAAGTAGTGTCAAGAGAGAGAGAGAGATTGTTAAGAGAGAAGGAGCGAGGCTCCATCGAGTGACACCATCAGCGCTGGGAAGCGAGTTGGCAAAGGCTTCAGGCAGAGGTTTGCTGTGTGCTGACAGGCGGTGTGTAACCTGCCCTTGTTTCCCCTCAGGAGAAGCAGCGATACTCCAAGTGTTGGAAGGGAAAGTCGCCCACTCCACTCCCGAGGGCTCGGGGATCGTTCACGGTCCAGCGCGGCCGAGGGAGAGAGGATTCTCCACATCTTAAGGTCAGTTTTGAGTTATGAGAGTTATAATCGTTGCATTTGATACAGCGCCTTATCACGTCTTCGAGACGTCTCAAAGCGCTTTACAGTATATACTGCAAAGTGAATTGACTGTAGATATTGCGGGCGAAACGCGTCAGCCAATTGCGCACAGCGACGTCCCACAAAGTTAATCACAGAAACAAAGAACATCCCTGTAAACTTACTCCACGGCGGTTCGTGGGACGTCACCGCGTTTCACCTGCAGAACACACAGTCACTACGCTCTACAGGAAATCTCGGTGAAACGCTTTGAGAAGTCCACCCGATGTGAAAGGCGTGAAGCTTCTTAGAAGTAGTAACAAGGAGCTGGGGATCTTGTAACACATTAAAAGTACCTTTTTTTTTACAATGCGCTTGACAAGCGTGAGAGAGAGACAGCGAAAATACAATTTTAGGAGGTCATTGAGCGGATTGAGTGAGAAATTGTGAAGTGTTGCAGTTCGGGATTCATGCACTTGATGCTCTGTTCTTTCGGGCCCTGATTAAAGCTGTGCTTTTGACCCTCCACAGACGGATTTCTGCGTCGAACGCCCAAACCGTTCGTAGGAAAGGCCCCGTGAAGTGGGGAGAAGACGTGCCTTTAGCACGGAAGCGGCTGGGGGGAGAGGAGGGGAGATGACTCTCCCGCAATCGATGGCACTCGTTCCCGAGAGAAGACGGCACCTTTGCTTTCGGTCTCAATGGCCGTCCCAGCACTGGGGGAAAGAGAGCGAGCGAGATAGAGCACGAGGGCGAAGCAGAGAGGGAGCAATGGGCTCCCAGCAAGAGATCCGCATCACCCTGTGCTAAGGAGCAGACACCAAGGCACTGACTGTGTCAGACATCAGGGGGAAGAAACGTAGAGAGGCTGGGAATCCGGTCGAGTTCTGTGAAATCCCCAGAGAGGAGGGTCAGGAAACACTCAGTCGCTAGTGGTGGTAAGGCAGCGAGCAAAAGGCTGACCCCCTCCGCGAAGACTCCAGGAAAGGCAGATTTTGTCCTCAAACTGGAGCCAAAGTGATGACAAGCGCACTGGCCCAGATGCAGTAATGGAAGCGGAGACCTTAACCCGCTGAATTGAATGTCCGATCGTCCCAAAGCAGGGACGTGTCGGAAGCAAGTGCAGCAGCAAAGTCTCATGCACAGCCACAGAGATAACAACAACAACTTGCGCCCTTCACGCAGGGTAGCACCTCAGGTAGTTTAATTTAAGAACAACCAATTTTATCCGGGGTGATTGTTGGCCAGGACACTGGGAGAGAGGAACTTTAACGTCCGCCTGAACATTGCCGATGGGAACTCGGTTTAAAGTCCCGTCGAAAGGACGTGCTGTGGCTGACTAAGTTCAGTGAGTTGAAGCTGCTGCGATCACTTCTGTCCTCGGCTGGAAACTCGACGCAGTTTTGCGAAGCATTGCTCTGCCGATCCGAGGAATTCTTCTCAATGTCTATGAGAGAGAGAGAGAGAGAACTTTCACAATCTGTACTGTGCGATGTTTAGTCAGCACCTATTTGATTGGATACCTTTGGCTCTTTGATTGGTGCTATAGAAATAACTAGTGATTGGTACTGTGTTGTTGTTAATCCGATTCAGTTTATTCGCCTGTGTGGAACCTTTTACTCAGGGTGAAATGTATTTTACAATAAGCCTGTTAACAAAGCAGTTTAACCCTTTTTGGGGCGGCATTAAAAAAAACCGCGGGACCTAAATTGCAATTTTTTTAAAAAAAAGAACCAAGAAATCCATATTTATTGAATTTGATGCGTGGCAGATACTTGTTAATCTTGTGATTTGGTTACCGCAGTTCTTTAAAACCATGATGAAATGGCACAGGGTTTGAGCTCACAGGTCCAAGCTGATGCTCAAGTGCAGTGCTGGGGTGGGAGAGGTGCACGTCAGAGGTGTAGTCCTTCTGATGAGAGGTTAACCTGATGCCCTACCTGTGGCCTGTTTAGGTGGACGTTAAAGATCCCTCGGAGCTAATCTAAAAGAGATCTTGCCTCGCTCCCCCCCACCCCGGTAAAACCGCTTACTCACTTCGTGGGTGTTTGTGGGATGTTGCTGTGTGCAATTGGCTCACTATAAATACGCAATCACTGCACTTTACAGTACCTCCTGTGGGACAATGTGATAGAGCAATGCAAAATCTAAAGATTATTATAATTATTATTACTCTTGTTAATGTGTAACCAGTGCCTCCCCTCTCTTGTTATCTAGTAACGCACATAGCGGTTGAGGTGGTAACAATCTGTATGTATCCATATTAATGTAATAGCTTAACTCAATATTGTAAACCTTATTTATTTACAACTACTGTTGCGTAAATCTGCTGGTATTTAATTAATTTATGATGCACTGTAAATTATTGTATGTAATTCCGAGCTAATTATTTTGCCACATGAAATGTCTACCGTGGAAATAAAAGCACTGTGTGTTGTCACTAACTAACGTGTGTAGTCAGTATTTAGATATATACGATTGAATGTCTACAACTTAAACTCTTGAAACGTTTCTGTCCTCGGGTGAAACCTGTAATTCATATAGATTCTTTCCTAAGTGGGGAAGTGTGTGATCCCAGACGCCACACGCACAGTAGAGTCCGTAGCATAGTGGTTAGCGCGAGAGGTCCCAGATTCGATTCCCGGGCCGGGGCGAAATCTTAAGCAAGTGTTCTTACTCCAAATGCCTCTGTTTACCCAGCAGTAAGTTGGAACCGAGTTGTTATCGAGTGGCCGATCGTTTACCGGAGGTAATAAAAAAAATTGGTCATTCAATCCACAACTGTTTGTGTACAATTGGCTGCTGCATTTTATCAACAAAATACACAATCACTCCACTTTACAATATATTCTGCGAAGCGCTTTGAGATGACTCAAAGATGTGATAAGGCTCTATTTCAATTGCAAGGATTATTATCACTAAGTGCGAAGTTCTGGGTCATCCTCACACTCTGTCTGCCCGACCAAACACTCACGCTCAGACACAACATTGCTTACGCATCTTTTGTGTCTTTACCGCAAGCAGAAAGCCAGGAGTGGCCGCGGGTTGATGTAACGCAATGAGAAATTCCTCTTTTTTTATACAAAGTGGTGGGAGAGATAATCCGGTCGGCGCTAACATTGAAAAGTCGGTGAGAGAGGTAGCAGAAGGGAGGAAGGGATTAAGAGCGATGGAGAACGAGAGGGAAGGAGCTTGAAAGATGAACATTGGAACAGACAGGTAGGCTTAGTTAAAGGGTCTCCGTCCCATTTAAAGATCTTGTTTGACAATTACGGTTTGTTTGAGAGGGCTCAGGAGACGAGCAGTGCGTGATACGTAACAGTATTTGACCTCACCCCTTGGTTCGTGAAGAACAGAAGATGCAAAATACAGTCAATTCACGTCACAGTATATTCTCCGAAGCGCTTTGAGACATCTTGAAGACGTGATAAGGTGCTATATCCAATGCAAGGATTATTATTTTATTATCAGAATTGTTTGGGTCCAAAAATCACTCTCCCATGAAGATGCCCCCTTTTTAAAGTAACTCCAGGGCTTTACCCTCTTACCCTCGAGCCCTTTGGCATATCCTCCCGAGGTGGAAGGTCAAAGTTACCTTTCTGCTTTTTTGTCAGCTCGGAGGCAGAATGGGGGGTCACGCTGAGTCTAGGTGAAAGGTTAGTTCCTCGGAATAGTTATGCAAACAGTTGTTATTCTCTCTCTCTCTCTCTCTCTCTCTCTCACTCTCCCCTCCCATCCTTCCCCATCCACGAATGTCCTGCCCATCACGTAATTCGGTGAGAGTTGAGCTGAGTAAATAACTGCCGATGGACCATTCAGACGGTATCTTCCCTTTGTGTTTCCTCGCTGACTTGAGACGTTCGCCTCTGTCTGAGTTTGTGCAATGCAAATCCAGTATTTTTGCATATTGCAATCATCTCCCCTTGTGCAGGGCGGGCTAAGATAAGGGCTGCTGATATCCATCAGATATTCATGTTGCAGCTCACGAGGAATCAGAAACTTGATCGGAATGCTTACCATCTCTTGTGCCGGAGTCTATTCAATGCCTACGTGCAGCAGTGGATGTCCTTCAGTTTACTCCGAGTGTTGTAAACAGTTAGGAACTTGGGTGGTTGTCTGCGTCGCATAGCTCCAATCCGACACGGGATCTCTCAGGGGGAAACCTGGAGCACCGTAAAGCCGGGGTTTGCCCATAACTAGGACCTGGAGTGCATGGTGCATTCCAGGCTGCTTCCCCCTTCCCCCGTGCCCGTACCCTCATTCATTCCTGTGGTCTCTGAGGACACATCACTTCACCGTTAATATTCAGTGTGACGTCACTGCTCTTGCAGCAGCAAGGAGAGCAGAACCTGTTACAATCCTGGGTTTGTGTTGAGCGTCCTGAGCCACTGAGCTCGGCCTCCCTTTTGATGAGCTGCTGTTTGATGCTGGCCAGTGCAGCAGGTTGGAGTCCTGCAACGTAGCGGTTAGAGTGCTCTCCTCGCAAGCGCTAGGACCCGGGTTCAATTCCCAGGCAGGGCGAAATCTCGAGCAAGTTTCCTTGCTCCACACGTTTCTGTTTACCTAGCAGTAAATAGGAACCTGGTTGTTCGACAATTGATGGATTGCTTTCCAGGGGGTAATAATTCCCCTTTGAATGTTTACAATCAACAGATCGACAGAGCAGGGCTGGGACAAGGTAACGTCACCTCGCATTGCAGATCTCGACAAACAAGTGTTTTCATTGTTACTGCTATAATTGGAACATTGCAGATCTCTGTAAAGATTGTGCTCAAAGGGCAACATTCCTGCTTGGTCTCGGACCACTTTTGGTGCCAGTGAAGCTCTATTTTCAGGGCCGCTGGTTCCAGGTTGGGGTGGGGGGGGGGTACGTGTGTTGGAGGCGGGGTTGCAGCTCTATGCAGGTGTATTGTCTGTTCCTTGGAATAGTTATGTAAACAGTTGTCTGTAATACATAAATACATAATACATAAATAGTTATGTAAACAGTTCTTGCTCAACTCTTACCGGATTACGTGATGGACAAGATGTTCGTGGGGGGAGAGAGGGAGGGGGAGAGCGAGAGTAGAATAACAACTGTTTACATAACTATTCCAAGGAACAGACATTTCACCTTTCAATCTGGATTGTAAAATCTGTTTTACTGATTGTAAACTGCTCCTGATATCCGCTTGAGCCTTGCCATCCAATAAAGCCACCTCAATGTGGGCAAGTGTGCCTCGGTGTTTGGAATTTCAAGGCACCATCCGTAAAAATGTCCCATCCCCATTTACCCCTAGTTCCCCACCCCCTCACCCCCTTTCCCCCAGTGGTCAGCGAGAGAAAATCATCCTGGGAATTCTCGCCCATTTCCTAATGACTTGTTCAACATTGGCACAAAAGCCAACTTTGAGTCTGCGAGATAATAATAAGAATAATAATCCTTGCATTTGATGAGGCGCCTTATCACGTCTTCGAGACGTCTCAAAGCGCTTCACAGAATATACTGTGAATATATAAGTGAATTGTGATCCTCTGTGTAATGAGTGGAAAGGTGAGGTGAGAGCGGTCACATTGTTGGGAGACTATGGTATGAAGGAATCTTGAATAGACGACAAAAAACAAGCCAGGTTTACTCCTGACTCAACACGTTCACGGCAACAGTGAAACAATTTGGATCAGCGGATCTGCAATCTGACTTCCCTGAGGATGTTGCTCTCTTGCCTTGACTCGTCTCATCCGATCTTGCCTTGTTTTCATTGTCCCCCCCCACCACTTCTCTTTTGGGAGAAAAAGGGCAAAAACCCAGCCGGTGTAACAATCACCATTACTGCCTCCGGCAACAGTAATTCTCAGTATTTTGTTTGGTTTCAGGCATCTGCTTGTAGTTTGTGATGGACTTCAATCAAAGTATTTTTATCTGAATTGTAGCGATTACTAATCTCATTAAGGAGTGGAAAATATTCTCCCTTTTCTAAATTCAGTTCTTGGTTTAACTCTGAGCCTCTGACCTCTCTCTATCTCTCTCTTTGATCCAGCTCGGTTGAGTCTAGCCCTCTTACCTCTGTGTCAGAAAATTGTGGGTTCTAGCCCAATGTCTGGACTTTGTGCTCTGGGGTCGAGGCTGGCGCTTGGGGATTAAGACTAACAATTCTTGCATTTGATATAGTGACTTATCACGTCGTTGAGACGTCTCAAAGCGCTTCACAGAATATACTGTAAAGTGAACTGACTGTATATTTTGTGGGCGAAACGTGGCAGTCACTTGCGCAGAGCAGCGTCCAGG